CGCCACCACCGTTGCTGATTGCCTTGGCCTTGGCCAATGGCAGGTCCATCTTGGAGCCAGCTGGCACTGGCTTTATCAGACATGGGGGAAGCTTCTTGCAGCTTCTCACAGAAGCCACCCCTATAGCACTCCCACTACCAAAACATTGCCACACAAACCCATAACAGGGGGAAACCCCACAATTGGCAGAACAGCAGAGGTGTTCTCACTGGAAGGCTGCTCTTCTACCAAAGGTTGCCCTCCTGGCAGCCCAGCTGGCTGGGGCAGCAGAAGCCCCCTCAGAGGATGAGAGCCACATCAGCAACGCCTTTCGTGCTGCTGGCTGCAGAACCTCGAGCTGTGCTTTTAGCACCTGACTGTCTCCTGACCAACCTCCACCTGATAGACGCTTTGGACAAATAACCTGAGACAGACCATACTGATGTCAGTGCCTAAAGAACAAAAACAGGGCAAGCATACGAGATGTTCTCCTTTAATGCTTTGCCCCATTCCGAATGTCGTCAGAGTAGGAACTTACTGCATAGGCTACGGTTACTTTCCCGAAGTGTGTTGTTTCGTTACCCATTTCCCCAAAGAGCATTGCTTACCTACATGGGACTGTCCTTTTATCCCCCTGCTACTCATTCTCATCCTTCTGCAGTTCTTTGGCTCTGGAATTGCTGCCCGGCATGACTTGGTATCGTTAGCAGATTGTGCCATATCACTCCTCTTTGCCATGTTGTTTAAGGAAACGTTAGCGTGTGTCCTATTACAGACCTGGTAGAGTGCTGTAGGTGCTCTCCCTCCGCTGAGGGGACTGACCGTTAATTCCTACCCACCTTTAGTGCCTGCCATGAAAAGATCTGCTGCCTTGTCCCGTGGCTGCCCACTTTGCTGAGGAGTGCTTGCTGAGGAACTTCACAGGTAGCTAGGTTATTCTCACGCTTATGATTATTGACTCCTTCAAAGAACTACAAGAAGCAGGATTTCCTTACATGAGTTATGTTGACTCTTCCTAGAGTACGTCATACTTGTACATGTCCATTAATTTTATTATTTTGTTATAATTTCTATTAACTTGGCCGCTACAGATGTCAAACCTTTAGCTTCCTAAATCTCCCTAGACTTCTCCCCTTTCCCCTTTTTGATATATCCCTTGCCACCCTGCGATGTGCTGATTAAAAGGCTGTTCAAGGCAAGAGACCACCCACTGCTATTAGCAGCTGTTTCACCCCTGAGTTTCTTGGGAACCTCTGGGACTATCTTGCCCAGACCTACTAATTCCGTACCTTTGGCACAGTTGCTTTTACTTTGGGCAGGTCCTTTGGTTTAGCGTCCCACAAAACAGGGCTCTTGTGTGGGCGTTTCTCCAATTTCTTCCATTGTCACAATTAATTAAACTTTGTTTCGATGTCCTTGTTCTCTGCAGCTGTTCTCAAAGCTTGTGGAAAGATTTCTGCTTTCCGTATCCCTAGGAAAGGATTTATTTCTGCTTCTGATGGCTTCTGCTAGTTGTTTTTCAGACTCTTTTTCACCTTTGCTTCGTTGTGGTTTTACACTTAATGGAGGTCATGATCATTTCATTTTTCCTCATTTGGATGCCAGGTCAGCTTGTTGAAGAATGTGTACAGATAATCCTTTTGGCTCAACGTTTTAGCCATGTCAGCTTCCTTTTGCCTTTTGTCAAGTCTTCTAAACAGGTACTAAGGCATTGGCTTTGGGCTGCCAATGTGATGTCCCTGTGCAACCTCCGTGCCACCTGTGACGACTGAACTCCCTCAGCTGCCCCTCTCCATTCTGACGGGCTTGTAACAAGAATCTCGCTTCCCCGTGGCTTCCACCACAGCTGTGCTCAACAACAAAAAAAAGGGGATTTTTTTGGAGTATGTGGCGTCATAACTTTAGGATTCAAGTCCTTCTCTTTGCTTATGAATCTGATTTTAACTCAACTGGTGCAGCCTGATTTTCAAAAGAATGAAGGCACGTGCAATGGTGCTGTCTCCTCTGCTGTTACGTAGACCCACTTGCTGGGTCGGGTGAAACAGGCTGTGAGATGAAAAGCTTGTGGACACCACCTTCCTCAAACTTCATTGATGGGTAGGGGAGAAAGAGCGTGAGTGCCCCTGCTGCCTTCTGTTCGGGCCAGTGAGCCAAATCAAATGGTGCCTGCGCAGCTGGCAGAGCAACCACCTCAGGGCAGCGGCTGGAGCACGAGTAAGGAGGGCGAGCAGGACTGCTGCGGCGGGCAAACACACACTCCTAGCAAGGAGCCGGGGCTTGCGAAGCGCATGGGAGGTACCTGGCGGGGCTGAGATGAAAGATGTCTGCGGGGGGACAAGGGCGTACTGCATGGGGTGGGCAGGAAGGGAGGGACTGAGGGACAGCAGTGGGAACACAAGGAAAAGAAGTGCGAGTTTGGGGGTTTCGGTAAGCAAGGTTTTATTTTTTTCTGTTTTAAGCCCAACAGCTAACTGCTGGGCTTGTTTCTCCCTGTCTCCCACCCACTTACATGCCATCAGTGCATAGGATATTGCAAGCACAAATTTTACCCTCGAGAATATCACCTCACTGTTGTTTCACAGGAGCATTTTATCCCATGGAAGTGTGGTTCAGGGATGCATTTTGACAGCAAGCAGCAACTCTGATGGCTGAGAAGGAAAAACTGAGCTGTCTCCTGATGTCTGAGTGCAATCTGGTGTATTCTAATTAAATCAGCAGTCAGATCCTGAATTTGCATTTGAAATGCCACAGCTGTGTTTGGAGATGTGTTTCAGTGGCAAAAAGCTCACAAAGTTACACTGTGACTTCTTGCTCCGCTGATTTTATTTCCCGTTTCTTCACGGTGGAAAGTTTGAAGCCCTGCCAGGAAGAAAGCCTTTTCCCCATGAGACTGTGAGTCTGTTGTGGCTTGGGGGCCACGCAGAGGATCACTCTGACCAAAAGCTCAGCATGAAATTTGAAGGCATAACTAGGTTTCAGGAAACACTTGGGGAGGCTTAATTCCAGTGAGAGCCTGAAGACAAAGGAAACCACTAGAAGGATGTTGGAAAGGAGAGCAGGCAGCATGCGACTTCTCAAGGGAGCAGGCTTCTGTCCTGCAGCTGCTCTTCTTATGCAAAAGTCACCCTCTTTTCAGATATTGCCAAAAGGAGAAGCGAAACCGGCTCGGCGCACACAAGACATGAGTACAGGAACTCCTTCGTAAAGAAATCCAGCTATATATGCCCCGTTCTGTTTAGAAGCAGTTCTCCATCATCTGTGTTCAGATGCCTACTACATCCCTCTCTTGCCCTTTTCCTTCCGCCATATTGTTTTCCTCTGATGCGTGTTCTTCCTTGCACTGTCCTATCTCACCTCCAGCTCTGCCCTGTGTACGCTGTGCTTGCTCCCTGGATGCCTGGCTAGCGTCTCATTCTGGTCTGCCTTAAGAAAATTCCAGCTAGCCAAAGTAACCAAACAAAGCTTCATCCTTCTTCCCTCCGGTTGTTTTGGAGACCTTATTGTGGCTTTTCAATACTTAGAGGGGTCTTATAAGAAAAATGGAGAGAGACTTTTTACCAGCACTTGTAGTAACAGAACAAGGGGTAAAGGTTCTAAACTGAAAGAAGCTAGATCTAGATTAGATAGAAGGAATAATTATTTACAATGAAGGTGGTGAGAAATGGGAACAGGTTGCCCAGAGGAGGTGTGGATGCCCCATCACTGGAAGTGTTCAGTGCCAGATTGGTCGGAGCCTTGAGCAACATGATGTAGTGAAAGATGTCCCTGCCCATGGCAGCGGGGTTGGACTAGATGATCTTTAAAGATCCCTTCCACTCCAAACCATTCTGTGATTCCTGAGTCCTGTCTGCTGGCTGAACCCTTCTCACCCTTTTTCTCCCTTTCCTATCCTGACTCATAGGCATTTTTTCTCAAAAGTCTTTCTGATTCAGCATATATCTCAGCAGCGATTTCCCTTAATTGTCTCCTTTTGCAACATCTGCCCCAGCTTGAAGTCAGACTAAAAAGCAGTCTGACATTTTCCCCAAGGTAGTATCAGAGGCCTTTACCAGAAAGCAGAAGAGGGAGACAAATGACAGTTGTCGGACCAAAAATACAAACCAGCCCTTTTCAGCCCCAGAAATGGAGCCTGACCCCCTGAAGCAAGCACTGCTCTGAACATCCACAGGCTGTAAATCAGGTTGTGATAGAGAGGTCTCTGTGTGTGCTCTTCCCAATAATATCTCAAATCATTAAAACCAAGGATTTTTTTATTCTACTTTGGTTGTTCTCCTCCTCGAGCCTGGCCTCATGCTTCTGTCTTTCTCCTTGGATATATCAAACTTCTGGTTATTTCCATTCCTCTGCCTAAGGTTGCAGCTCCCCGGTCTCATTTCTACAGGAGCAGTTCCTTGTCTGAGATTTGTTCTAGTGCTAGCTGCCAACTGGGGCTGACTTCCCAGGATGAGACATAGCACGTTGTATTTGACGTAGCAAACGCAGCTTAACCTCAAGAGGCACGTGAGGCCAGAATGCATTTTGTATTGGGTTGTGCTGCAGGCTAAACTGGGCTAAGACTCAGGATAGCTGCAAACCTAAGAGCAATGGTAGACTTATTAAAAGACAAAGAAAAGCATGAAGATAAGGGAAGGAGAGTTAAAAAAGAAGGGTGAAAAGAAAAAAAAAAAGAGATCTTAAAAAGGAAACATATTGGCTGAGAATCTGATATGGGGAAGGAGCGCAACTTCCTTTTCAGTGGTTAGGTTCTCATTTTTCTTTTCTCTCTCAGACGTTTCCATAGTGCTGGGGCTGATTTCCTGGGCTAAGAAACTGAAGATCTGTTTGGATAATTTCTGAGCTCTCGGGAGCTCTCAGGCTATCGCCGGTGCTTCCAGTGCTCAGCACAGCCTGCTTCGACAGACAGCGGGTGAAGGTGCAGATGGGAAAGGCTCAGTAACTTGTTGGTGTTGCCCTCTGGAACCAGGGACCACCTTTTGCATAGCAAAACTAAGGGCAGGGATCAGTGATCACACTGTGATTAAATGGCATCAGAAATCACCTATGCTGAGGTGAAATTCAAGAATACATCACCAGCTGCAGCGGTCGAAGGTAAGGAATGGGTTAGTTATTCAGGCGAAGGGGACCTGGAGGGAGTGGAGCTGAAGAACAGGGGATGGAGACTTTTCCTTCTGTGACTCTGGCTCCTACTTGGTTTTGACAACTATGTGAGAAAAAGGAATTGTCTACTGCTACATGAGCAGGAGACTGGAGGAGTTTAGAAGAGGGTCAAGGAATGCCTACAAGAGGAGAGGTGGGAATCTGTAGGTGGTTGGAGTTGCAACATGAACAAAGATGACTACTGGGAGCACGAACAGTAGATTTCAAGTGAGCATTCAGTAAGGAACGTGTCTGGGCTCCCTTAGCCCCCTGGTTGTAACATCAACAGTCGTGAATGGTAGAGAGTCCAGGGTGGGTGCTCAGCCCTGGTACGATGCAGGCAGTAGCTGCCTCTCTATATGTTATCTAGACTTGGGTGAGAGAGTTGTTCTTGGACAAATACTGAATACCCACAATAGAGGCTGTTTTTTTGCAAACAGTCTGATCTGTCACAAAGGTGGAGGAGCTCCCAGGGCAGCAAATGGCAGCAAATAAGCCTAAGCCCTGGCTGCTACTGCTTTTGCAGGGTAGGAGAGAGGGTAAGGCTACAGATTCCTGTGTATATAGACAGCAGGAGTAGAGAATCAACATGCCTCCTTACAGCAGAGCAGTCAGTTGCCCTCTGCAGCTTCATGAGAGGTGGCACTGGCTGCAGATTCTTATAGCCCCATTGTCCTTGGCTGACTGAGAAATGCTTCTTGCAGAAGAGAGACCCAAAAGTTAAAAGTAAGAATGGGATTGAACAAAACACCCTAAAATACACAGAGGAAGAAGTATCTAAGATCTGGAGGAAGATCCAATTCTGTGACTGATGTCTACCACTCCTGAAAAATAATTAACATGCCAAACAAACAAATTTTTATTGCTATTAAAAATCATGGTTGTAAAATGGTGCCTTTACTAGGCTTTGTGCAGATTGAAGACACGTTCTGATCAGTATGTATTCTGTAGCCATTATGCCAGAGATGTTCCATGTATGGCTCATTGCTCCCACCCTTAGATACAGGACCCTACACAACAGCAGGTTCCACAGGGGTGAAAATATGTGTGCGTGAATGAATGAATGAATGAATAAATAAATATTGCTGCTGAGGATATCAACTTGCCTATTTACTGCCTTACCTCAGTTTTGCAACCCCAGACAGCAGCCATCAGCTCCAGGTTATTCCTTGCCTGCTGTGAGGCATGACTCATGGAAATAAGAAATGTCCGTACTCCTGACTGACTTGGAAGCTCACTGTTTTCGATCCACCAAGATTAGTTGGTTCTGGTTACAGCTAGCATTTCTGTCATGGTGAGGTGAGGGTGATGGAAGTTCCCCATTGTGTTCCCAATGACCTACTCCAAAGACACCTGATCCAGCCATGTTTGCTCAAGCTGCTGATGTCAGGGTCATGCTATAGGTTTGGGTGCACGCTGGGGGTCTGTCTTTGAGCGTGCCTGTCCAAGTGATCACACACTTAGCTTATTCTTTGAATTCAGAGAAGCGTCCTGTAGTACCACCACTAATGTCTCTCACAGCCTCACGGTATGCTCATAGGATGAGAGTTATGGTTGAAAATTATTGAAAGATCGAGGGAGTCTCACTGCTCTGTTGTCCTTCTGAGTGGTTGCTCTGGCCATGCAGACCCCATGTTGGCAATGGCCAAGCTCACCTGGGTTTTCCTATTCTGTAGCCTCTTCTAGCTGAGCTCTAGATGTAATAAAATTGGCAGTCACTGGAAGATAGAGAAAAGGCAGCAGCTAATTAAACAACACATAACCTGTGGCAGGAGGTGGCAGAGACTACCAGGGTGGGTTTGCACACCACAGTGCAGTTAGGGTTCCTCCATTTCCAACCAGGATTTCCCAGGTGGAAACATAGTCATCTGTGCTGCACAGCACTTACTGCACGTGCCTAGGAGATGTTGCATTTACATGCTGAATAACCAGTATGTGCTCATCAGATCTCTTGCGTCGTGATCATGCTGGACACGTTGCCAGCATGCAGACTAACTGTAGGAAGCATTTTGCAAGGAGGTTAACCCACTGAGCATGCACAAAATCGCCTGCACTTCAGTTGTGTTGGTGAGGTGCTCGCATGCCGGCAGTCAGTGCTCTCCGGGCCACCTGGGTGTGAGTGTGGGATGCACGGATCTGGCCGGGCACAGGGTGAATAGTCAATCTGGACATGCAGCACATCAAAAAACAGGTTGGACTTCAGATCTGTTGTTTGAAATAGGTGGCTGGACTCCAAATAATGATCCAAGTCCTTGTTTTCACTACAGACAAAAGTTCTGGCTAGAAAAACATGATTTGTCTAGGGAAGTTTGGTCTTGTCTGTCTATGAATGTTTTCTGTTCTGGTCATGAAAGATCATGCTTTTTGCCCTGCTGTAATAGCCTCCCCCAAGCTGTTGGGAAGCAGTCAGAGAGCTTCCCTAAATAACCTGTTTCTGGAAGTCTAGCTCACTAGGCACGGCTGGCAGGCATGCATGGCTGCTGGCACACTTGGGAGGTTGGTGCTGAACAATGAAGGAGGTCTCTCTAAAGCTGCTCATTAATATCAGTCTCTCTTCAAACTTCTTTGCTCCTGTCCTGCAGCGACTGCTGCCGTCTCTTTATCCTCCTGTTTGCCCTGGCTTGTGTGCCTGCCACAACCTAGAATGGTCTCCTAACAAGTCCTTCTCCTTCCCTGTGATCCATTTTCCTGCCTGCTCCCAAACCTCCTCACTACTGGCAGTGTCCCTCTAGAAAAACATCCGGCCCTGGCAAGTCTGACGGGGATACTTTACCCAGGCTGCTGGGCACAGCCCTCTGTTCTCCCCAGGCATCCAGCCTGGCACAGCCAAGTTTTACTGCACTGAATCTCTGAACGCTGGCTGGGAAAGCAGAGGTGGAAGGGGAAAAAAAAATTATTTTCTCTCCCAATGATTCTGTGCCATCATCCCTCATTCAGCTTACACCAACCTTCTACACGGAAAGTCCTAAAAGCTAAGAAGGGACTGAAGCAGGAGGAAAAAGTTTTCTGGGGAGAAGTCAACATAAAATCTTCATGTGAATGTCTCGAGTGGCACGGACAGAGCAATGCTGTATTTGGCAGCTCTGGGCTCAGTCTAGAGAGAGACATGGTTTCATTCCAGATTTTGAGGCCGTGTGAGGGCCTCACCCCCAAACACCAGCAGTCGACATTGCTAGCTCACTGGTGGGGCTGGGGCTGTGAACAGTGTTGCTGAACCTGACCTTCTCCAGAAACCACAGAGGTCCCCTGCTCTGTCCCAATCTCTGCCCCTCCCAAACCATGTAACTTCCACATCAGAACTGAAATTGTATTTTTTTTTTTGAGCACCACTCCCTTGAGTTGTACATCCTTGGTTGTGGGCTGCCTGAAGCATAGTTAACTGTGTTGTTGTGTTCCTTCACTTTTAGTACCTCCTGAGACGAAGAAACATGAGCACCGTCCCCAGAAATACCCGCTTTGGCTCCCGTGGCTGATCTCACTGCTGCTCCTCTTGGTGTGCATTGCCTTTGTTATTGCTCTCCTTGGTGAGTATGTGCAGGCTGGTTACAGGAGAGAGGTCTGGGGGAAGCGCTGGGAGAAAAGCAGAGAAATGGGAGCCCAGAGGGGAACATCTTCCAACCAGAAGGGAACGTTTACTCAGGAATTGTTTTGTTGTGAGGAAGGATGCGAATGCCAACATTTGGGCTTGGAAAACCCGAGTGTTGGATATTTGAAAGGTATGTGTAGGAGCAAAATCTTTCCTGACTGCTTAAACATTGGGGATTTGAGGGTACAGTTGCGACGTGACACAAATTTCTCTCTTGCAGGCCAGCCAAACTAGATGTTTTTGCCAACTGGTATGTGGGAGCTGGGACTACCACAGCATTATGTCAGATGGTTCTTTTGTATGCATCCGCTTACTTAGAATGATGGGAAGAGTAGGTGGGAAGGAACTTCTGCAGGTCTCTCATCTAATGCCCTGCCGGAAGCATGGCCATCTTCAGAGTTTCAGGGTTGCTTGGGCTTTCTGTTAGGTCTCAGACTTTTCTGCCCTGACTTTGCATATGTCTGCATACATCCCCCAAAACTTCCACTGTTTACCCTGAGGCATTTTTAGTGTTCCCAGATGCACATCCCCGTCTTGCATGGCCTCTTTGGAATGGTGGAATAATTATTTTCCTGCATACCACACAAAAACAACTTTATTACGTTCAGCAGAGGAGAAAAAGCCTGGAGATGGCAGCATGAGTGTCTAGACAGACAGCTGGGCCTGCTCTTGAGCTCTCTAGGGTTCTTTGACATGTTCCATGTCCCAATGGTAAAACCAGCTGTTTACAGTTAGTCCTGGCATCTCCAGGATTAACTGTGCAGTGGAAACTCACACACCTTTTTAGTGTTAACTGCATTCTACTAGAATAATTCGTTAAAAGTGATTCTTACACACACAGTCTGTGGAGATTGTGATCACTGTTTCATTCTCATTTTCTGTTGAGGAGCATTCATGGCATGTTTGCACAAATTGTCAATAGAGATGATGGATCCTGGAAGAAGGCATGTTGTCAGGCTAAATTGCTGCTCTTACTTTTGCTGTCGTCAGTTCCCAAGTCCAAGAAGATTGTATTGCTTTGTTCCCAAAAGTATAACTTTTCACAGTACTCTGTTAAGTCGCTGGGGAGTTTTAGGGTAGGATGTTAGAGTGTAATACTGACTGGCCAGATTCTTTTGTCTATTCCACACATGGAAGGTTTAATCATTGATAGGAAATTTACTTATCCAAGTTGATTGATGTTACATAGGATTTTGATTTAGCAAACTGATACAGCAATGTATTTAAATAAGTACAAATTAAACAAGTACAAATTGCACTTAGCAGAGGGGAGCAATTCCAGCGGACAGGTCAATCCCAATACCGATGCCATTCTCATCACCAGTCTCTGCAATACGCTCAGCATCAAGACACTGGGTGTCCCAGGGGACCCAGCAGCAATACGTGGGTGAACGCCACCTCAGGGCCATTGCTTTCTTCAGACAGGTTTTTCTTAGTCATTCAGTTTTTTACACTACTTTGGGCTGAGCTACTTATACACTCGCCCCGTGCTGGTCTGGCTAACTTAGGAAGACGTTGCCCGCTTTTTGGTCTGTGGAGGGATGAGCTGGCCGCTTCACTCAGCTGATACAACTGGTTGATTCACTCAGCTGAACTGGAGCAAAGGCCACCGTCCGGTCGCCCGTGTGTTGAGATGAGGTCGCTTCTCTTTGCGACAGGTGTGGCCAGCCACGCGTCGCCCTCGCCCATCTCCTCTGACCCTTCATCCGTTGTAGGAATTCACTCCTCACAGAGGCCACTGTGATTACTCTGTCCTCCTCACTGGTAACAATATTTCTGAATGAAACTGTTGATAAAAACAGATACTCAGCTCATCCTGACCAGCTTCCAGTCAATATCCCGGAGTGCTGGAGTTAGAGATAACTCTACAGTCCTTTGGGCTGTGGATGTGGCCTGCTGACACCTCTCACCGACACTGTGCTATTGCCCATGAAGTGGCTGGTAAGTTTAGCTAGGAGTTTACCTCCCACCCTGGTTTCAGCAGCTCCAGCTGTTTGTGGTTACCTTCACCTGGACTGTCTTTGCTGCTGAAGAAATAGACCCATCCAATGCGCTACTTGTCCAGACTCTGTTGATGTCTGTCTTCAGAAGAGAGAAACTGTGCCACTGACGTGCTGCTTTTATTTCACCGATCGTAAAGAGATTTAGACAGGCAGCTTGGCTATAGGCATCTATATGGTAAATCCCTGTGGTCGGGTGGCATCAGTCGGGTGTGATGTCCATCCTCCCAGCGATCCTTCTGCTCTCTGACATGGAAGATTGTCTCTTTCTGCCTGGCAAGGTGGCCATACCACGTGTTCGGGCCAGTTTTGTCAGAGCCTTGTCTTGTCCCAAAAATCAGGGTTTGTCTACCCAGTGTGCAATAGGGCAATATACACACAGAGGGAGGTATTTTATTGCATATTTGCACAGATATGGGTGTCTGCCCCAAGACAGCACACCTTGTTCACAACTCAACAGTCATTCACACACTTAAGATTACCATTGTCATCTTTCTAATGCATACGCAATGCTACTCAGTTAAACAATTGGTTAAAGTCTCTTTGTCCAGCATGTGAATTAGTATGCATGCCCAGCTGCTTCATCTTTGGGATATAACTGGGTAGGTGGTCTGTGAGTCGGTGGCCACGATGTCTCCCGATGGAATTATCTTTCCCCAGTTACCATTTCTTTTGGAAAGTCTCAGCAGCATTTCCTAGCCCGTTATCTATTCTTACGATTCATCACCCTCTGGTTCTACTTTGGACAGGTACATCCTGCTAATGAAACAATAACACGCTGTTCAAAATCCTGTTTCTTAGTTTCTATAGTTCATTTTAAACTCACAAGATCACAAGACTTGTAACTGTAATAAGGGTAGGACTTTACAAAAAGACCTAAACCAGCAATAGTCTGGCTAATTTCAGTTATCGTTTCACGTTTTGATTCCCCTTTTAATTCCTTCATATAACACTCGGACCAGGGATGCCCTAAGCCCACACCTTCAGCTTCACAGCAGCTGAGGGGGCCGGACATGAGGTGCTCGGTGCAGGGACAGACCCCACTGACAAACCCCTGGGTGGCTGTGGCCACCAGGCACTGCTCAGGTGGGTCGCAGGCTGGCCTCGCGCTTGGGGCCAGGGGAATAC